TATTCCGCGAGCGCGGTGCATCGTTAAGGGACCGCTTTTTTGTTCGATCGGCTGGAAAAATAAATTCCGAATATCTCGATTAAGCGAAATTCCCGCAAACGTATGAAAAACGAAACACGATATTAAGAAGCGTTCGGAAACGGGTTCGAACGTTAATCCCGAAAATTAGAATAATCCAATCTGGGTTATTACGAGAACGATCCGAGAAAATAGAAGGGTGGTCGTTAAGTTCCCGCCGCGCCTAGTGGACCTTAAAATTAACCGGCATTTTTAAATAGCTTTCCCCGTAAGGCAGATATTAAAACCGAAAGAGAGAAGAGCCAACGTCTTACGTCCGGCGATTTCCACCGAGTGTAACTTTCAACGTAAGCGCTTTTTTACTTTAATATCGGAATGAAAAAACCTATGAATTATGATAATAGAACAAAGCGAGAAGTTGGTAATATGCTTCGATCTTTCATTTTGACTTGCTAAATCGGTTCGGTTTTTCGTTTCTATATTTGCTTTGTGACACAGTAGATCAAAAACACTTTATCCGATAATCAGCTATTTCGCGTTACACAAACACGAAACGTTTACGCAGTAATTTTAATGAAACTTTGCCTTCAAATTAATTTATTACGAGCGTTATGTTGTCGTGGTTTTATGTCGTAAAATTCATTGTTAACGAGCAGCCAAGAACTTGACGTTTTTAATAATTCACGTCACAGCCATGACACGGAGATTGTCAAAATGAAACAAATTCCGCGCACGTTCGTGTTCCGTTGCATCAACGACGAGGCGAAATGAAATTCAGAAGCGGTACACTCTCCGGGGGTCCATTAACCGCGCTAAATTAATCTCCTGTCCATCCATGGCGAACGAAAACGGCTTAATTGAAGCTGGAGAACGCGATGCACGATAATACAGATTGCGACGTCGCTCGCAGAGAGCGGGCAACTCTGGAAAAAAGAGAAAAAACGAGTCTAACGAGATTTCGCGAAGGAGCTCGTTGTTCGACGTAATAACTCGCATCGTTCGACACGAAGCGAAGCAGGCGATCGTCCAAGTAGCTGCCAATACGGACCATCGGCTCGTTAAACGACTCTAAACGATTTCCTGCCCTTAAATAGAAAACCCTTGCTTCTTTTACTCGCGACTTATCGGTTTACTTCGATGACGGAATTTAGGGGAGAATTTTCTTTTAAAGCGTGGAGACAATAGCAGCAGTTAATAGTAGAAAAAGTTTGAAAGAATTCAGCAAACGTAAAACTGAAACGTTTTAAGCTTCAAGGTAATGAAAGGTTAATAATATATTCCAGTTTGTAAAAGGGTTAAAATTAAACGAAAATTATATATGCTAAAATGTTGAAATTTTAGTATGTAACGAAATGTGCTTGTTAAAATGCAGCAGCTCGTTCGCGTTGCAAATTCGCCGCACTCGATAATTTCCCATCGATTGGTTCACACCGTTTTTTAATCATACAGTTCATTGAATAGATGAAAGCGATTCCAAGGTAAAGGTACGACCACGTATTGGAAAAGACGAAGGATGTCTGGGTCAATATTTCGAGTGTAAAAAAGCTTGTTTTCCTACGTACCTTCATCAGAAAGAACAACGTCGTAAACGCATAGAACCCCTGCAATTCGCTGTACTATTCGATACTTCGTGTTAATAATTATTCCGCCGAGCGACTATCGTTTACATAGAAACGGGCATTACTATCAACGTTATTACCGGTAAAATTACGGCCCAACCATGGGGACATTACACGCGTCCGATCGAATCGATCGCGTAACGAGAATCGGCCTCTACGCGTTTCACGATTCGAATATTGTAGATTGAATTCGATACCGTTTGTCTTACCGTATCGATCGGAAAAAAATTCGTCGATGCCAGGCATAGAAACGGGGACGGAATTTTGATTAAAATTCAATGACAGCCTCGTGCGAGAGCTACCTTCAAACTACATTACCAAATCGAGGATGAAACGTTGAAGATGAAAGGGATTCACGGTGGAAGCGTGTCGACTAGAGCGAACGATGGACAAAAAGAAAATCGTCCAACCGGCTAACTAAATCCAATTAATCGAATATCGATCGCCGACAATCCCTGCGTCTCTACTCTGTTTCGTTTCTCCTCCGGCTCGTTCATTACGGAAACACTGACCCACCTTCCTCGACAAACCGTGGATATTTCGTTACGCTTCTCTGTTCTTTGTCCTGCTAATAAACCTCGCTCGACACGAACCACGTGTGGACTCAAAAGAGAAGGATTTCGTACGATCACGAATTCTCCGAGTCACAAAATTCTGAGATTCCAAAATTCTATACACAAATCCTCGAATTTTTATAGTATTCTTATGATCGGGAATTTTTAAATCCCCAAATTTTCAAAGCTTTCAGTGATTTTCAGCGTATGAAAGAAACGCAATAAATAAAGACTCGTTCTGGTAATAACGAAATACGTTCGTCGGTATAGGAGCAAAAATTGGAACGAAACCAATGTTTTTAAAGCGCGTTTCGTCTCGCGAAGATCTTTCGACGGGACGAGCGTTGGTCGGAAGAAGGAAGACGGGCCAAGGAATCGCATTAGAGGCGACGGGATCGCGGTTCCGCGATTAAATTTTCAAGCAAGAAGAAAAGTAACGCAGGAGAACGAGCCAGCCGGTATAAAAAAGCAAATTACCGGGACGAGAACTGGCTGTTCCGCGTCGAATAATGTCTGCGGATGCGAGGAATCGTCTCTCGCCGAGAAAAGTGGCCGATCGTAACGTTTCTCGGTCGAGAACATTATTTGAACGGTCGGAACGTGAATACTGAAATTCTCTTCGATTTTCTTTACCATGGCAAAGCACATTTTTTTCCGAGATATTTTTTAGACTCGTCAGTTAGATGCTATATGATCGAAGTTTGCCCATGGAGGTAAAAATATAGGAGAAATTCGAATCCATCTTGAAGACTGTCATTCTTACGGGACTTGAAATATCCCGACGAGTCGAAGAACACTTAAAAATCGCACTATATCATCCGCGCAGTAGATTAAAACAACTCCAGCGATCCGTGACCGAGCGAAAAATCAGCGAAGACTCTTGAGAACGGCGAAGCAGATATTGGCCAAGCACTTTAAGCGGAAAATTCGAACGTTTTAACAAGCTCGAGTGGCTAAGACACTTTATTTCGTCCCCAATTGACCTGCAGTCTCTAATTGGCTCTCTCGGGCCTCGCCAGCCAGCTATTTAACTAGAGCAACTGTTCAATTTATCGTGTTCCTGTCGCGGAAAGAAACGAAAGAAAGGAAAAAGAAAGGGGAACGCTCCTTCCCAGGAAACAGCGCACTCTTTTGCAAATAACTTAGGATTAAGGTTTGAGAATAGCTGTTGGACGCGACAAAGTTTGCAGAAATGGCTACGAGCCCCAGCACACTTGGCAACGAAGGCACGCCGGAAACGGCAACTCCCACATTTTCACCGGAACTAACGAGCCTAGTATACTACTTTGGGAGACCGCTTAATATTTTTTGCTGTAATTAACTCTTTAAGTGATAAGGGATTTATCCGTCGACGCGGCCTTATTAAATAAATACGGTGCAGTCTCGAAATTGGAATTATGGAGATGTGATTTATGGGAATCTAACGAGTGGAGATGGTAGATGTTCATTTCGTCAAAATTCGAAGCGTGCAAATTCGACGCCTCAAGGTTCAACGTGTCGATATTTAACGCGTCGAAATCCAACGCTATGTGAAGTTCAATGCATCAAACTACTCATCGAAAACCAACGCATCAATATCTAACATGTGGAAATGTAACATGTAGAATTCAGTGCGTAAAAATCGAGCTACTGATAATTGAACGCGCGGAAATCCAATCCGTTAATATCTAACATGTGGAAATGTAACATGTAGAATTCAATGCGTAAAAATCGATATGCACGTGATAATTGACCGCGTGGAAATGCAATGCGTGAATATCGAACGCGTGGATATCGAGCGCGCGAGTACCGAACGTGTGAATATTGAATGCAATACGCGAAACGCGAGAAAGTTTACATACCTCGTAACTTTTTCCCAGAATGCATTAATAATTGATATTTTGCGAACGTGGAACACGTTCTGGCCATGTTCCACGAGGATTATTACCGAATTGTTTTCCCTTTTTCCTTTCTCTTTATTTTTTTTAAAGGATTTCATTTTCCTATGATATTTCCGTCGCAACGAAATTCGTGCCGTCGACGCAGCGATGTTTTCCGTAAAATTTGAACGATTTCCGGTGAAACGGCTCGAACGATACACGCGACTCGAATTTCTGATGTCTCTTTGTCGTACAGTAACCGAATATCGCGGATTCATATACCCGCGTTCGCGAAACGAAAATAAAAAAATAAAAATTCCAACGCTCGTGCTTCGTGATAGCAGAAATTATATTTACAATTGAAAGTCAACAGTTGCAAGTTTCTCTGCCGTGTTCGAACGAAACATTATTACGTTTTGATTCAACGTTTCGAAGATTAAACTTCCGGAAAGTTTCGACTCGCTTAATTTGCTCTCCGAACGTTTCGAGTAATTCTACGCGCGATTCGACTTGGCGAGATTTCCATTCCGGGGAAATCTTGAATTTGTTTTTGGCATAAACACAAGATCGAAGTTCCATGTGACTTATTCGATCTTGCGTTGAAAACTCGCGAAACGTACGGACACTAAATGCCGGGACGTTTCTGACGTGTTCGCCTCTGGGAAATCTAGCTCCGCGATTCTGTAATCCACCCACTATCCAGAATATCGGGAATCTAGCGTGGATTTACGACGCAGGAAAATTTCGGTGTTTCCAAGTCATCGTCAAAGTTTCCTACACGTCATCGTGTCTCAAACTTTGCCGCGTTCGCTGTCGACTTGCTGCTGCGGTCTAACCTTGGGGAATACTCGCGTGATCGAATATGCTAAAATACAAATATTGATTCGTTAGATTAGATTTAGGGTTGTTAAAGATCGCGTGTAGTAACGCAGTGCTCTATTTGTTCGTAGGCAGCAACAGCTCATCGGGCCTACACAGCACCTGGACTACACAGACGATGATGTTCGTAACGACGATCTTACTGGTGGTTTTCTCGTCGATGACGAGCACGGCGACGATCATCGAACCGACCTCTGCCAGCAGGTAGCTCGCACGCGTCCACGAGGACATCACTGCCACCGACTAACCCGATTACATCGTCCATGTAAAACCTAGTAGTCTAGGGCTTCCAGTTATGTATGTTACTATGTATGGAGTAGATAGTCGAATAACAATGATTTTTATTCGAGTGGGCCTGTGCGAGAGACGGGAGGGTCGGCGAGTGCGATGCGAGAACGTGCTGTTCCCCGGTTCACTTTCCAACTACGTTCCCATTTTGTCCACGTCGATCGAGCCGGCATTCGATTATCTAACGGATCGATCGATTTTTTTTACCGGTACGCTAAGTGAACGGGAGATACGTGTCGAGGGTTGAAACGGTTAGTCGAAGATTTCAATTGTAACCCGCTGAGCGCAATACACAACCCCTGCCTACGAACGATCGCGTTATGGTTGGTTTTTATGATTCTTACTCTTTGTTGATTTTGGGTTCGTTTAGCAACCCCAGGTGTTCAACGGAACGTCGACGTTTAGACACATACGATATACAGGGGTATTTAATATAACTACGATACGATAACGTTAGCGCAGCGACGAGCGGCGTTCTGCTCAAATATCCGCTCCTTTTACGATGTCTAACGAGGAACGCGACACACCATAGGTACCGATTTGTAATCTGTACAAATTGTAATAAATTACCAATACGAAGTACGATTCGAACCACGATCTTCATTCTTCTCACTCTTTTCCTCTCTTCTGATTACCACGGTGAACACGTGTGACCTGCACTTAAATCAATTACCTACGGCAAAAGCAAACTTAATTTTGAGACATATGTTTCTAATAATCTGTTTTATATGTCTTACTGCAAAGGTCAGTGTTCACTGTGGCAGTCAACTCGTTGAAATTAAACCAAGTAAAGGTAAGTAGACAATTGTGTAACTTACGCTACCAGATCGCTTTGTTTCGATATAACATCGCTCTCACATGCAACAACTATTCAGTCCCTTGTAAGGACACACATGAGTGTACAAACCGCTTAAAATCACATATCGCTTGAGTAATCGTTTGAAAACACTCCCCTTTAAAAAACTGTTCAACGAAGCTGACCTATTTCGTTGATTTCTTTGCCGCAAATATAGGAAATTTTGCATGCTCGAGAACAAAAGGTAGTGGAGTATTAGCAGAGCCGACAATTGACAATTCGGAAGAAAGTCCAATTCGTCCCGAAAGAAGGAAGAACAAGCGTGCATAATGGAAAGTTTGATCTTCCAAAGGAACAAAGGACACCATCTAAATGCAGAAACGAAAAACGAAATTGTTCCTCGTAAAGGGTGCAGAAAATCGTGACACAATCGAGAGATAACACGCGATTGTTCCGTTTCGAATTTTAAAGCGGCACATCCTCGTCCCTCTCTCGACGGATTAATCTCGTTCAAGAGATTCTTCGCTTCGCTCGTCGAGAAACGGTCGGGTTATGCTGTTTGACCGGCTCGAGGGTGAAAAGCTCTCCCTGAAAATTGTCGTTCTACGACGGTGGTCCGCGAAATTCACTCGCGGCGTGATTTACAACGGAATCGCTACGTGACTACGTTCCTGCGCAATTTCGTTGAAAGAGTTTTTAGCAACGCTGAAAGGTTTATCGGCTCGTTAAATCGAATTTACGATATTTATTGCTCGACTTCGAGGCACGTGCTACCCATCTACATAAACCGATAATCGTTAATCAGGGAATTCGATAACACCGATCGTGTTACTTCACGATTTTCTTCCTTATTCTTTGTGGCGATCTCGTTGGTATATCTACGTGATTAATTTTTGACTGTATTCTAAATATTTAATAAAGTATAAACGCAATTGGTGGATCATTTGTCTTTCGGTTTGCTTAAAAAAGAGAAGTATGACTGCAGCTCAAAAATTATTTGTGGAATGAAATTGCTTCGTGCACTTTCGTGGAGCAAGTTCGCAACACGTTTTATGGTCCGAATCGACAGATTGTCGGGAAGGAAAATGAAAAGGTAAAGGCGACCATCGCGGAATCGACGTTAATCAAGAGCGCAGAGAAGCCGTAAAGGTCCCAGCAGCCAGCCATTCGGTCCATCTGGCTTGTCGGCGAAATTAAAAGGCCAGCTCTCGGTGTTCGCACGTGTTCCTCGCGGCCAGCACGTGGTTGCTTCTACTTCCAGAGGAGCAATGTGACGTGCACGGACGCCTAAAGCTTGATTTACACGGAGGCTTCGCCTCGAGAACTGCTCGAACCTTCTCGGGTCACGTTGCCTTCGTCCCCGTTATACGTGTACAATGCTAATTCGAGCTACCTCTTTCGGTACCGTACTTCTACTCTCCGATAACCTCCACTGAATTTTAATGCGAATATTTACCGACCAACACCGACTCTATTATACGTGCACGCTCAATCGTCCGAATCGAGCTTCTGCTGATTATGCGACGAGTACCATTCCTCAGGGAGATTCGTTCTTACCGCTACGAAATTTACAACTTGATTTTATTAGTTTTAGGGAAAGTTAGATGGATTTGGGAAGATGTTTCAGTAGTTGTGATAGGATAAATAATTGCTACAACCAAAGATCCATGAAATCCTAAAATCATTTATAAGTTCGTCCTTTACTACAGCTAACTAAATCGATGCAGCTACCCATTTAAATGAAGTATCTAAACGAGGATCTAAGGTGAGACCGCGATTTACCGAGCTTTAAGAATAATTGATAGTTTTAGTTCGGAATAAACTTCAGACCAACCACGGATAAGATGACTACGGGCGAGGTTACCGATAAGTCTTACTTCGGGTATCCAAGTCCACCCTTAATACCCCTCGGGAGATATTAATTCGCCAATTATCGAGAGAACACAGCCATTTCGTGATAAACTCTCTGTTCGGATTATCGGTGAAGATTAAACATGGGATAACTAGCGTGTAGATGGTGCGAAAATTTACAAATTAATTTTGAAAGAACTAATATTAATTTTGTTATTGTGGACTTCGATGCGTGGATGTTTAATACGATTGATATTCGATGTGTGTTGATGTGGTGTGCAGATATCTGGCGTGTAGGTACTTGGCGCGTGGGTATTCGGCGCGCAGGTATTCGACGCGTGGGTATTTGGCGCGTAGATATTCGATACGTGGGTATTCCACGCATGGGTATTCGACGCGTGGGTATTCGACGCGTGAGTATTCGACGCGTGGGTATTTCACGCATGCGTATTCGACGCGTGGGTATTCGACGCGCGGATATTCGACGCGTGGGTATTCGACGCGTGGGTATTCCACGCATGGGTATTCCACGCGTAGGTATTCGACGCGTGGGTATTCCACGCATGGGTATTCAATGCGTGGGTATTCCACGCGTAGATACTCGAGGCGTGGGTGTTCGACGCGTAGGTATTCGATGCGTGGATATTCCACGCATGGGTATTCGACGCGTGGGTATTCGACGCGTGAGTATTCGACGCGTGGGTATTCCACGCATGCGTATTCAACGCGTGGGTATTCGACGCGTGGACATTCGACGCGTGGGTATTCGATGCGTGGGTATTCCACGCATAGGTATTCGACGCGTGGGTATTCGACGCGTAGATATCTAGCGCGCAACTATCCAACGTCTACCTACTCAATACCCTACATTACAATATACGCCAAGACAACGCGTTATAATTAAATTAAACTTACTAACTGCTCCCCACAACACCATAAAACAAATATCTAATCAAATCCGAAATTTTGCATCAAATCATTAGCGAATTTTGAGATTACAAAATACCGTAGAAGTTTTGTAAGAAAAATGGAGGTCGTGAACCACGGTCGTTGATCCGTGAAGCGAGAGATTTTGTCCAATTAACGAGTTGTAACAGGGTCACCAGGAGTAGAACAAATCGAAACGATCGGTGAACTTTCGAACTGGCGCCTGCGTGCCACAGATTCTCGACGAGCGATCGACAATAAAATAAAAGGTAAAAAGAACAGGCGAATTGCAGGAAGCTCGACAACAACGAATTCGTTAAAGCCTTAATTGACATCAAGTAGCTTTGTCGCTAGAAATAAGCGAAATAATTGGAAGACTGAGGGTAGCGATCGATCAACTGAACCGATGATGGTCAAGGAAAAAAGAGAAGGAAACCGATGGAAAATCAAACAACCTTGCAAGAGAAATTACCGTAGACTAATAGAAGCACTTAAAAAGTGTTGACGAACCTTCAAGTTCTTTTACGAACTTTTTTTTTTTGAGAGAGAGAGAGAAGTATGTATTTGAAAAATGAAGCAGTTGTAAAATACACGAGAAAGTTTCTGTAATAAAATGCATCCGATGTATTTTGTTAACAGTGGTTTAACTTAAAGTACAAGCGACGAAGTCGATGAAAAAAGAATCGCCAAAGGGTTGAATGGAAGCAACCACGGTATATCAGAAACAAAGTTGCGAATCTTTCATCCGAACTTTTAAATCAAAGAAAGAATCGTTCGTTTGAAAGTGTTGAAGAGAAGAGTAACCGAAGGAAGTTAGCCAAGTAATCGATCAATAACTCGCAGCCTCCATAAATCGGAAAAAGTTACGACAAATATTTATCTTCTCGCGTTTACCCCTTAAATGTCCTTTGTACTCGTTTTGCTTCGACGATTCCATTTTTCTTTCGACCAACATGGTTCTTCCCGACTCTTTTCCGGTCGTTCGAGCACTGGGGGGATGAAACTACCCCTCGAAAACTATTAACAACCGAGTCCCTGAAAATAGGGTAAAAACCCTATTAGTCCCTAAAAATAGAACAAAAAAGGCCAGGGGCCAAAATTGCTTCAATTAGACAAAAGTTCCTGTCTTCTCGAGTAGGATTCGAAATCCATTAATTAATTACGCGAAGAGGAGAGAAGCGGGTCCGCGCGCGTTCGCGCAAAATGCAATTCGCGTGGCGAAAGTGTGGCGAACTAGAGCCGCTCGTTCGCACTTTTAATTAAACATCGCGACGGAGCAGCCGTAATTAATTGGTGGCACAGCGCAGTGTACGACCCACCCCCTCGGCCACCCTCGACCACCTCGAATTTCCGTGGAACTAATTTTTCAAAAAGGAAGCCGCGCGAGAAGGTATCGTGACCGAGAACAAAATTGATCCGCTCTCTCGATTCGACGAGATAGTTCATTTTCGACCGGTTATCCCTCGGGAATCTCCGTTCTGTCGAATTGCCTGATTTATTATTAATTACGGCTTAATAAGTTGTAGCCGCCAGCAATTGTAATTGTATTTGACTTGTTAATTGTTAGATGTAACGAAACTTTATGCAGCTTAATTGCGAAAATATTTGTGTTAACGTATGCTAACACATTTTGCGTACCTTATCAAATTTATCGGAGCAATTTTTTGGAAATTTTGCAAACAAACGTAATTGCGTTTAAGGATCGATAAAATGAATTTTTCTAGCTGTTGAAACGAATGGAAGGCATCGGTGGGAAATATTAAAAAATGGAGAGAGATTGAAAATAATATACGCAGCGAGTGTTCGGCACTCGTGCTAGTTTCAGTAATTTATTATAAAACGGCTCGATTCGGAGGGTAAAAGCGCGAGTTCATTTCGGAATCGATATTGCGCGTCGCAGCTGTAAATTGCACGCTATTTACCGACACCTCGAAATGTTTCTCGCGATTGTAAATAATCGCTTTGAATCCCTGGCGGTTCCAGCGAATCGCGACCAGGAAATAACGACGCGTTTCTCG